GTCCAGGTCCAGGGGGGGTGGCGCACACACGCGTCGCCGTCCGACTATGCTTTGAAGTGAGACTGGTATGTAAAATAATTTGTTGGGGGGGGGGGGGGGGGGACGGTGAGCGGCGTGGGAATAAGGCGGGGCCCGGGGGAATGGAGGGGAGGGGGGCCCTGAGCGAGGGGGAGAGGGCGGGCGCCGGGTTGCACCTGCTCCGCGAACCCTGCGGAGGGCGGAGGGCGGAGGGCGGAGGGCTGAGGGAGGGCGCAGTCGTGAGGCCCTGGAGCCGGGAGCCTGGCAGGGGGTAGCTCTGCCCACGACTCCCTCCCTGCCTCAAGGGAGGGGGCGCTGGGAGCTAGGGAATGGGCACCGGGTGCAGGGTGGGATGGGGTGGAAACGGGGGTGGGGGTAGACCGGGGAACGGGGTGGGGTGCAGGGGCTTGAAGGGGGTTCAGCGGGAACCGGAGGAGGAGACCCGAGGGGCGGGATGGGGGGAGGGGGCGCTGGGCAGGATGGGGACTCAGGGCGGGATGGTGGGCAGGCGCGAGCCTCCGGCTAAGGGATGGGGGAACCAGGGGGCGGAACCGGGGCCGACTGGCAGCGCGTCCCCGCAGCCTCCAGGCCTCTTAGACCCCGAGTAAAGGCTGGAGAAGACCATCCAGGTTGGATTCCTCCGAGATTCCTTCAAGCCTCAGTGCCCAGCAGTTCCAAAGGCCAGAGTTCTGACCTGTGATACCTTTTTTATTTGCTTTATGCTGAAAAAGCAATTCTCTCTCTCTCTCTCTCTCTCTCTCTCTCTCTCTCTCTCTCTCTCTCTCTCCCCTGCAGCCTACAGTTCAGACCTGAGAACCTGCCCTGTTCCTTCCTGCCTTCCCTTCTCCACCCAACCACAACTGCAGGGAGCCGGGCCTAGGAAAATGGCAACTGCCAGGAGCCGCGGAGTCAGAACTGGCCGGCCTTGGCTATTATAGCCCAGCAGTTGGAGGGATGTGCCGCGCCCCGTAGTGTTGCCATCTG